GTCATTTCTATTTTCAGGACCCAGAGCAAGAAATGAGAAAAATATTGGAAAAAGTGGGATACGTGGATTACAAGGTGGAATGCAAAAATTTGTCGTATATTTTCAACAACTTCGGCAGTTTTTGGAGTTAGTATTGATTTTATTTGTTAAAATTTAGTTTAAGCTAATTTGGGCCTAAAGTCATCGTGAAATTGGTTCTCTAGTGTGAATAAATGTTACACATAATTATACTCTTGGTATAGTTATTTTATGTAAAATTATACCTTTTTTACAGTTACTTACTTTTCTTCATAGTTTCGTACGGAATGCGAATGGCAAAAAAAATATTTCCGTGATTGAACTTTTTTTTATTAAATCATGAACCGCAAGTTTAAATATAAAAAGATTCATTGTGAAAAGCTGCCTCGTTGGCCGAGTGGTCGCATTTGCGACCAAGCGGCAAGAGGCAAGCGGTCTCAGGTTCGATTCCCGAGTCAGGCAAAGTATTACTAGGTTTTTCTCAGTGGTAGCACGGAGTCTGGAACTGTGCCCGGTATATGGCAATAGGCTCACCCCATATTACATGGGATTCATAACATAAATAGTGAATAGTGGGTATTACATTGTACAGTCGCATTAAGTGCCGTAATGTGCACCCTCTGCCTACCACTTCGGAGATAAAAGGCGTGATGTTATGTTGTCTTATTGTGAAAAGGTTCTTTATTCGTCAAAATAATTTTGAAAGAAAGAAAGAAAGAAAAATAATTTATTTGCCATGGACATACACATGGACCACCGAAAATTAACACACAACATAAACATTGAAACACAAAAGTAAATAGAAAAAAAAACAACAATGAAAGCAAAAAAAAACATTATAAAAAAGCAAAATATAAGAAACAGGGTGGCAGCATGTCCACGACGAAAGGGCTGGCCAACTCAGTCTAAGCTGCAATTTTCTGCAATTTACATTTCTGTAAATGATTTTCTGATTGGGTCAGGATTTAGGATTGTCACTTATTACTTAGTAACAAATAAAAAAACCATTAGTCTAATGATTATCTTTGGATAGTCAAAATACTAGTGGGAAATGTATATCGATTGATGGAATTCTCGCGTCAACCAAAAATTGCCAAGTCATATTTGACGGGAAACACTGACTCTGGCAAGGAATTCCATTCCTTAGCAGGCCGCATGAAGAATGTTGACGCGAAACGCTTCGTGCGATTGGGTGGAATGTCCACCATATATGGGTGGCACCACGCCGTTCGTCTGGTGGTACGGTGGTGAAATGGACTAGGGGGAATAAGGTTGTGCAATTCCCACGCACACTCACCGAAATGTATCGGATAGAAGACCGAAAGGCTCGCGACTTTGCGCCTGTGTTCGAGGCTTTGAAGCAGAGCCTCTACAAGCGAATCGTCATTGACGAGCCTCTTGGCACGCCTTTCAATGGATTCAAGGGCTTCTAGCTGGCATTTAGCCGAGCCATATAATGTTCCTTTATCGTTTGTTTTGCAGAAATCCTTCAAGCAATCACCCCATTCAACATTCCGAAGGATATGGAAGAAGATCTAAAGCAAGATTACTTCAATATTTTAAAAGATATTAATATTGTGTCCAAGTATAATACCGATGAGGCAAGCTTTAACTATAAATATCGGTTGCTAGTCGTACACGCTCGCAAGCCGGCCTCAGAATTTTAAGGACAACAAATCAACAGATAATGGTTTTGAAACAGATTATATTGTAAATACATTTGTTTTAGATAGTAATTAGTTAAGTATTTTTATAATGTTTAGTTTTAAGATGTAGGGGTTAAGGCAATATTCGATATGAGTTTGAGATTGCTTCTTGTTAGATACTGTTCAGGGAATAAACTGGTCATGATCACATACTTACAAACCTATTTGCGATGTTGGACCTACTGTATTTGCGATTTTTTTGTTCCCTTAATTATATGTTAACAACTTTTCTATTCCATATTAGAAAGTTTGATATTAATATAATAAATAAATATTATTTTATAATGGTTTATTTTTATTTACCCAAACTAATACCTACATACATAATGTGTCGTGGAGGGCAAATAAATATCAGTCGCTTTATGTAAATACTAACTTTCAATTACGGCTTATCCGCGCAAATTCTCTTGCTCATATTATAGTTTCTTGGTAACTAACTCTTACTACTTCTTCTACCTCTCCACTGTATTGTGTAAACTTTTTTTATTAAACATAATTTATTGTTTAATATATTAAATAAGAAGCTAGATATTAACAGAATTAAGAACGATATGTGATTATAGTTATGTTGACAAATTTTCTTAAGACTACTATTTTTCCTTTGGTTACGCGTTCAAAACTGATGATAACAGCTAATATTGCATAATAAATATATATCATAATTTATCATTGATTTTCTAGTCCAGGACCGCGCCTATTCTCTCTCAACACAGGGCACAAATGCTGCAAAAAGCCCTTGACGCACCAGCACCACCAAATGACACGTTGTACTTGAAAATACAGAGCCTTCGAACATCAGACTTGGAGCCTAAGTATTTTACCATCAAAGTGACATTCTTTGATCAACTGTTAGTGCACGCCATTATCGAGTCTATTGGCTCGAAAGATGAGGAACCCATGAATTTTATAGCTAATGGCACTTAATATAATCGCATATGATCCGTCAGACTGAGAAAATGTGCCTATTTGCTGATGATCCCCTTGTCGGTATGTCATAGCAATTTACTTTAGTATCTGTTTGCCGTCAAATATCTGTAATGTCTCCATTGGTGAGAAATAACATAATCGTTTCCTTTTTATATTTTTCTAGTCTTTTTTTTCTTGATTCTGTAATCACTACTACTACAAAACGCTACGACTACGCCAAAATCATAAAATTTGTTCTTTGGACAAAGGCCCTTTTCATTATAATGTTCGTTTGTTTAATAAATTATCATTTTTAATCAAGTGATGTACCTATGGGTTTTTCGATTCAGAAAATCTTACTTGTAACTGAAATTGTTATTCGGGGAATATACTGATGTATCATTATGTCACTTTTCAGTTCTACTGCAACCGTTTAGAAGTATTAATGTTAGTAAAGTTTCAGCTAGCATGGACTTAGGCACTTTATTAAAATATGACACACTTCAAGGATCAGCTGCTGTAATATTGATATCTTATCAATTTTTATTGGTTCGAATGGTACGACTAACTTTTATTGAGAGAGAACTTTTTTGCTGTACCTACCTAGTCTAAACGGTACATTTAGTTGTTAATAAATTATTGAATAAGCTGTTCATATTTTAAATTAACCGTTGGTAAAAAAAAGTATCATTTGCATATACGGCACTACGGCACACAAAATTTTACGTAGTAAAATGTACTAATATACTTTATAAGAAACTGGAAAAATAGGGGGAAAAATAAGACAAGTGCTATTAGATACAGTAATGTTATATAAGTTATTATTAAAATATTTAGTTCAGATTTAAGTTCTAGTCTTTGTGGGAAATTAATAAAACGTCGTATAAATTGTATCAAACCATTATATACAACAAATTTTATCAAATTTTGGGTATTCATTGTAACAAACACCACTCGCTGCTACTTCGTCGAATAACGTTACTTAGGATGAAGTGACACGGCACGCGCAGCTAATTGCGCGGGAGCAAGGCGGAGATTATTGTTGTATGTGATCATGCGTAGTTATTATACGTAGTCGGCGCAGATAAAACTTTATTCGAGCATTGTATCTTTTGAATTAATGGATAAAAATATATAAAAATAGTATCAATCGATAGTTTACATTATAAGGATGACAAATTTACCATAATATGAATTTTGACACATGTGATTATAACACTTTATTCTTCCAATGGGACGCAGTAAAATCATAGCACACGCGACTCGCGAGTATTCTGGAAGTTGCGACACGCACTTGGAATGGCCCAGGGAGTCGTATTTCACCAAAATACGTGGCTAATGAACAGTCTGAGGAACCTTGATAAAAAAGGTCCTTGGAGTGAAGCGGTGATGCGGGCTCACACTGTAAAGTGGAGACTTACCGTCGACCTCAGGGCAGCTAAGGTGTTCGGCGTGATGTGGACTCACGCTATAAAGCGGAGGCTTAACGTCGACCACGTGGAATGCAGCAGTGCGGGCTTAGGCTTTATGAGGAGCCCAAGGCTTATCGTCGACTACTCCACCAATAGGACTACTATACCACGGAGCCAACAAATGTTACGGTGCAGACGAGTGGAAATAAATTCGCGACGCCTACACCTATAGATCCTAGTACTCACGTTTTTTCCTAGGATCCCACTTCTGACACCAAAATTTGTTAGGATGGCGCTCCGGGAGTCCCTTTGGGAAATGACACCACAAATGCTGCTAATAATTTCTTTATTTTACACTTCACAACTTTCGACTTACAATAATTACTGTGTGATATAAAACGGTGTTAATAGTTGAATAACTTTATTTGAAGTAACTCAATATACAACTAAGACGTATATTTTATTCCATATGGCCAGTGGTGGGGTGTTATCCCTTAGTCGATAAATTATACTTGCGCGTATAAGTGCCACAGGATGTATCGATTGCTTTAATTGCAATTTACATGTATAGGGCTTTGTTCATAACAATGTAAGGAGTGCTTAGATCTTTGTTAGTAACAATATAACGATTGTTTAGGTGGTAATTTAAAAGTATAGGTCTTTGTTACCAACAATGTAAAGATTGTTTAGATTGCAATTCACAAGTATGGTAATTCATTGTTAACAACAATGTAAGGATTGATTAGATTATAATTTATAAGAATGGTTCTTTGCTAACAATAATGTAAGGATTGATTAGATTATAATTTACAATAAGGCCTTGTTCATAACAGTGCGTAAAGTGTGTGAGCGGGAAAATATTTTTAAAGCCCAGAAACGCTGTTTAAGAGCTATGTTTAAACTAAATGTTACAGACAGCTGCAAAACTTACTTTGTAAATAGTAAACTATTAACTTTTCCTTGCATTTACATATTAGAACTTTCTATTTTTGTCAATAGTAACATCAAATTATTCCCTATTTTAAAGGATACAACTAACCGGAATACAACTATAAGCTTTCAATATAAAGACAAGCTATGTACCGGTGGTTACAAAACATCTTTATTAAAAAAGTGTCCTAGATATGGCACCTGTCATTTTTTGCAGTTAGAGCCTACTAAAGAATAAGATTGGTGGACAATGGAGATAATTTTAAAAATGAATACTGCAATCATGTTTTAGTGTTCATGATAAGAGGAATATTAAAAAAATTTAAATAGCCTCTGGCTTATTATTAGTGTAGTGGAAGTACAAAGGCCACAGAGCTAAAAGCCCAAATAAAAAATATTATATATAATATTGAACAAACAGGCTTAAAAGTTGTAACAACAATAAGCGATCAAGGTGCCTCTAATTTATCCGCTATAAATTAATTGTTAAATGAAACAAAAGAAACATATTTAAAAAAGAATTGTGTCTACAGAGAAGGATTCTTTGAAATTGGAAACAATACAATATTCCCTATTTATGATCCACCACATCTAATGAAGGGGATAAGAAATAATTTGGTCACTAAAAATTTAAAATATAATTTAAAAGGCAAGGAATGCACAGCAAAATGGGACCATAATAATATAATAGCCTTATATAAAAGATGCCCCGGTTACAATGGTGTTAAACTAGCTTGGCAAAACACATATGTTACTGAGACTGAGTAATCTGTATGCTTTTGGCGAAGGTTTGTAAAGAGATAGTGCCAATATTTTTTTGTCCAAGGAGAATCGCCTTCCACGCTTTTTTTTCCACTTTGGGATGCTTGCATATGATAAAATATTCTTGCCGACTTTGTCAATTGTTTCGAAATAATTTCAAATGCCTTTGTCTTCTTAATTTTTCTCGGTAACGTTGCATAGTAGTTACGCTACTTGACGATAGATGGCACTGAGTGTTTGAAAAACGGGGTTTATTTTTTTAAAGCGTTGTGTTTTTTTAAGTATTATTCGCTTTTAACTTTTGCTTCCTACCATTTTACATTTAATTGTGTATTTTATAGACTTTAGGTTGTTAAAGGTACACAAAATTGGTGTCTATGTAGTAGTGATGCTACTTGGCGATAGATGGCGCTGAGTGTTTATTAAACGGAGTAGCGTAGTGTTTTTTCAGTATTTTTCGCTTTTAAGTTTAGGTTGTTAAAAGTACACGAAATCATAGTGGCAACAATACTCAACAATTAGCAAATATATTGTACGTTGTTATTTCAACGCTCGATAGGATCGAGTTAGATGGCGCTATGGTTTCGTTACTGGCAAAAGTATAGGTTCCGAACTTACAAAACGATTATATTTCGGTGTACACATCTAGCTCTATTATTGATTTTTATTCGTACGCTCTGTAGGTTTGATTATTCAAGTGTTATTTTTTCTAGGTAGATATTATTAACTAGAGTTGTTATTTTTTTCGTCGTTTTAACTCGTCGAGTACCGGTTTTATAGACACAATTATAGAACAATAGGTTGCGGTCACCGGTGACCGCTTGGTGTTTGACAGTTTAAGTCGCTTATATCATTGTTTACGTTGATTGATACAGTAGCTATATATTAGTAAGGTTAGATTAGTGAAATGGTTTATTTCTAAGTAGATGTCTAAAGCAGTTAGGTTTTCGATAATAAAATGTATAATATAGTTTACCACTCAGTTTTGGTTTAACATTGCAAATGAAACCCTTATAGGAAATAGAAGTCTTTTAAATTAAAATGGGAGGATGGTATTTGTGGTGATGCGAAAATAACTCCTTCTGTTGTTCTTTCACGCTAAACGGCTGAACGGATTTTGTAGAAATTTGGTGTAAAGATAGTTTGAGTCCTGGAAAAGCAAGGCCGCTTTTCCAGGACTCAAACTTTTTCCAGGACT